CATTTTCTGCTCATAGGGTTTGAAGTAATTTAATAAATATAAATTTTTATATTAAATTTTGATTTTAAATTTAATAATAATAATAATGTCTAAATATATACAAATGATATGTTAATTTGAGCAAAAGAAATTAAATTTTATTTAAAAAAGATGTTAAATTCAAATTTTGTGAATAGAAAAATAGACACTGTGAACATTTTCTGCTCATAAGGTTTGAAGTAATTTAATTTTAAATTAATTGAGATTCAACACTCCTTTTAAATATTGAGGATTAATACCAAAAAAAAAAAATAAATATGTAAGAAGTAAAAACCAAAACACAAAATGAAATCCATGATAAAGGGATTAAATTTCAAGCACTTGAGTTGAGAAATCTATACCAATCTATAAGAAAAACTATATCCATTTTGAATAGTGACTCGTCCACTTTATGTGTGTGTATATATATATATTTGAATGAACACCAGGTGATGAATTTTATCTTTTGTTTGGCCAAGTAGTATCAAGGATTGCCTTCATCCGAGCTCATGATTATAAATTCTCTTGTCATAATTTTTTTAACGGGTAAATACTTGAGTCCTATAATTAATTGGATCTATCAATGATTTTATAAAGATCTCACTAATCATGAAGCTAAAATGTTTGCATTAACTATAAAACATTTTTTCAATCTATAAATCGTATTTTAGTTACAAAGTACAGGGTAAACATTTTTTCTCAACTAAGACAATCCATTAGCATAGTGGATACAATAGAAGACTCAGCCTGCTACTTTCTTGGACATCAAACATCTTGCTTTATCACAGCTAGCTTACCATCTTCCACGTATCAGATCATCTGCAAGGTTGATTCTTTTCTTCTTTATTCCCTCTTCGGCATCCATGTTTGTGCAAAGAGAGGAAACGCGGATGATGGGAAACGTCGCCGGCGTCATATATACAGTGTCTGTTTACTCACATAATGCATGATAGCATGGATGGTGCAATTCTGCCTAACATCTCTAAGTGACTTGTGTTATCTTCAGTTAAGTCCACAATTTGGTTTTTGAATATTGCTACAAGTTTCTTATCGAAGAAGCTCACCTTTGGCAGTGTGAACATCCTTAGCTTTGTTTTGTATGCATGAAAATTAAAGCTAGCATGATCATCGAGAAAGTTGTCAACCTCAAAAGGTATTTGGACTTTCACTCTCCTTTTTCATATCCATGAGCGGGCTAGCAAAGCAGCTCTACTAGTGTAGCCACACTTTGCCATGTAGAACTCTTTCAAAGCGTTGCCATTGGTAACACAATCAGGGTGATATGGATGGAACCTTTTCCACACAAACATTTGTAGCAAAGACAAGCAAACATATGGCTCGATGATATATTACACACCACCAAGAATCTCATCAAAATAAAGTAAATCAAGCATGTGATAAAGTGTACTAAGTATTAATGAAGCCAATGGAAGTCTTACATCTTCAACCAAGTGTATGGCTAGTGGGATACACCCAGCCATTGTCTCATGGTTTGGAAAAACTTTGAAGATGAACTTGCTCAACCAAGCTGTGAGGAAGGCTTCCTATACGTATGAGCTGTCCTTACCTTTGCCAATTAGAAAGTATTGTATCCAAATAAGAAAATTAATGTTGTATTCACCCCTCCATGAGCAAAAAGAAGTACTTGCATTTTTCTTCATCACCTTTTTCAAAGCCACTTAGATGATGCTCTCTTTTTGTGTCAATGTTATGTGGCATGGATCTTTGCTTCTAACGATGGGCAGTAGCATCAAGTTCGTTGCATCTTCCAACATTATTGACACTTCTCCAAATGCAAGAATAAAAGTGTGTGTGTTGATGCACAATTTTCTCACCAAGTGACGAAGACACTCAACATTGTTGGAAATTTGCCAAATTTGACTCAAAGCTATGGATTTGAGAATTCAAGCAATGTAGAGTACCATTACAAAGTTATCATCGGCCAACATGTTTTTGGCCTAACCCATTCAATCCTCAATTTTAATTTACAGGAATGTGAAGCAAAGTAGCATCGATAATAAATCATGCCTTTTTAGCCTTGTCTGCATTAAATCCTTCAGCGAAGGGAACTATGCTGTATTGACTTTTCCGTTGATGAAGAGTTTGAGTAAGACTAAATCTTATTGCTTCTCAAGTGTCCCTTTGGTCGACTAAGCGTTGAACTCTAGAAACCCATCTTCAAAAGTGTACCATGGATCATGGTATGGGTACACTATGTCGATCAGAAGAGGATCAACCATTGTTGAACTATTTTTATGTAAAAAAAAAAAAAAAAGGAAGAGAAGAGGAGTGAAATTTGGATTAAAGAAAATGAAGAAACTCGCAGCATGCAAGAAAAAAAGCTTGATGCTTACCTTGATTTGAAGAAGTATTTGCCAAATCAATACTTGGGCCTACTTCTTAAGGTTGAATCTGGACACAATGCAACAAAATCCATAAATTTTTGTGGGAGATTGGTGAAAATTTGAAGACCCAAGGGAGAGGTATTCCAATGGTTTTTAAAAGGGAGAAAGAACTTGAAAAGTCTGTAAAAAGGTTGAAGAAGATGGGAAAAAGGGGCCAAAAGAGCTTTAAATGCATCAACCAACCGCCTTGCTACATGTCATTCATCAACATGGCTGGATGTCATTCAAGAACTACAGGCAAGGTGCATGGTATTATCCCACACTCACTTGCATTAGATATCCCTTAAAATCTCCCATTTTTATGTAGCAATTACTGTGAAATTTTTAGAGATTTGGATCATTCTCTTTTAAAAAGGGAGGGAGTTATCTTTTTAACTACTAAAAACTACTTCGAAGGTAGTTTCAATTCCTATTTGGATTCAAATCACACGTGAATAGTGTGCAAAAAAATCTTTCTATTGTAATTGCTCCAAATTTATTATTTTTCCAAGTAATAGTACAACCCATACCAGAACTCTGACGAAGACATGACTCAAGTCTACACTCCAACCTTATATCTACATTAATCAAAAGTCATTGCCTAAGTATTTCTAAGCTACACCAATTATTTTTCAAATTTTACTAGTAAATTTATAAAAAAAGGGCTCAACCAAGCATGGGAGTAATTTTTCATTTATAAAGAACTTTCAACTTCACGAATATTTGCTAAGCTTCATTTATGCAATTTATCATCTTGGTCAAATTTGGCCTTGTTGTATCCATGCTAAAGCATCATCGTCAACGACATCGGTTTTCTTTGCTAAAGTCTTGCTTTAGCCTTGCTCATCAATATTAGTCACGTCACGTTGTTGTTATCTATATTGTTGCTATCTATTCTTATGGTCGGATTTGGCCTAATCTTGTCCCTATCAAAGTTATACCAATTCTTGGGGTGTGTCGGTAATGGAGGTTGATGAGTCAATAATGAAGATGACATAGAAGCTGACTAGGATGCTACTTGCGGAAAATGAAGAGGGTATTTTTGGCAGCACCCACTTCACATGCGAGGGGCTACACACCATAGGCTATCTCGTTTTGTCTGGCGATGTTAGTTAGTAGCTGAATCTCTAGCAAAATTTGAAAATGCAGATTTTCTAACCAAGTTGAGAGAGCTGGGCAGCGATGACAGGCTTTCAAGAACCGGGAATGATTACACAATTACCAAAAATAATATGAATGAGATGTACACTGTAATAGAGGCAGCAAGGATGGAAGATGTGTAGGGATTAAAGATTACAACTTTAGAAACATATCTATACATAAATTATTGCAACATCATAATAGTGGCAATAAATACGCCCTTTATTATCCCTAACAAACACTCTCACCCTATAATGAACAACCCTTATGTTATAATGAAAAATATAACAACTCTCTATCCTTAGAGCTTTCTCAAAAGTGAAAGAGATAAACTCGAAAGTAATGATGCGAGAAGGAAGGGTGTCCATTTAGGGGCTTGTGGATGGATAGATTGATCTCGTCTTGATGCTAACTCTTTAACTTGACCCTTTGATACTCAAGAAAACCACCCAAAAACTTAATCTGCAATATGTTGTCTCATAACCATGATATTTTGCAAGTCTAGAAATTATTCTGCAGTATTGGAAATTATTCTACAGTATTGGAAGTGCAGAAAATGTAATAAAAATGGTGGTTTCTAGGTATTTTTGGTGTATATGGGGAGGGGTCGAGAATGAAGGATGTTTCAGAGGAAAATGAAGGTGTGTTTCGAGAGGAAAAAAGTTAGATTTGAAAACTGTTCAAATTTGCTAAAAAATGAAGAAAAAATTGTATACATATATGTGTGTAGTGGCATTTTCATAATTTTTGGTTGGTGAGTCAGAAGTGCACAATAACCTAATGGGTAGATTTGGGGGAACTGTCAAGTTTTGAGTAGCTTTGGATACTGTTGACAGCTTTCGGCTACCTTCCCCTGGTCTTTGCCCTTGTCTTAATGATAATTATGGCAATATGGTATTATGTGTACCAGAAAAGATACTTGTTTGAGCTTGAGCATAAGGTCTCTGGGGAATATATTGGACAACCGGCTGAAAATCCAGCAATAAGCAGGGTGCCAGGAATGGGGCTTTTCTACTTTGAGCTTGTGCAGGGGATACCTCCAATTTTTCCTCATTTCATTGCTCAAGTCCCCTCCATTCATTCAGTTCTAGTGTTTGTCTCGACCAAGAAGATTCCTGTTACCAGAGTTGCATTGGAGGAGAGGTTTATGTTCAGACAGGTGAAGCCAACAGAGTACAAGATGTTCCGCTGTGTGGTAAGGTATGGCTATATGGATGTCGTGGGGGAACCTGAGGTGTTTGAGCGCCAGTTAGTTGAACACTTGAAGGAATTCATCCGCCATGAGTGCTTCCTTGCTGGAGGAAATAATAAACCACCTGAATCTGTAGATGAATCAATGCAACAACAGATGAATCAATGAGTTCCCTGCTTATTGCTGGATTTTCAGCCAGTTGTCTAATGTATTCCCCAGAGACCTTATGCTCAAGCTCAAACAAGTATCTTTTCTGGTACACATAATACCATATTGCCATAATTATCATTAAGACAAGGGCAAAGACCAGGGGAAGGTAGCCGCCCTCTACAAACTTATACAAGACAGAGGAGAAATATATAATTTCAATTGACCCAAAAATCAGAAAAAAGAGAGCAATCCACCATATGCTTATCTTCCATATAACCAGCATTATAAGAGTAAGCATGTATGTAGTGACAAACATAACAGCAACAACAGCAATTCCTATAGCCAAAAGAAAGATAAGTAATTAATTTCTGTTTCTCAAAAGGAATTTTTAATTAGTACTCAATTTTTCAGCTTACCATATGCATTGCCGATCTTTGTCGTGGTTTTGAATGCAGCAGTGACTATAACGCAGGCAACCATGAGCATGTAGTTGATCTCAGGTATATAAACCTGTCCTTCATACTTAGCAGAGGTATGGATTACCTTAACTTTTGGGAAACACCCAAGACTTAAGGACTGAGATATGATCGAAAATGTTCCAGATATCATAGCTTGGCTGGCAATGATAGCAGCCAAAACAGCTACTACAAATTGTGGCAAATATAGTGGACCTGCGTGTATGATTCATCTCTTAGAAAATATTTACTTAATGAATGAATCAGATGATAGACAGCTTCATTTTTCATGGAATTTAATTACCTGGAATTGATTTGTAGAACGTCTTGTCAAAGTGTTCAGGGTATTTGGTGAGATACGCAGCTTGTCCTGTATGTGCAATTACTATTGATGGCAATACAATTGTAGAAAAGCTAATCTGCAAAGGTCACGTGAAATTGTAATCAAAATGGAGAACATGCAAAGCAATATATACCTACAGCTTCCTTTTGCACTCTGTAAATTGACATAATGGTTAAGTTGTCCAAAGTTTTGAGTCCTGACACAATAATACACTAAGCTTTTTGGGCCATGACAAACTTTTGATTCTTATAACAAAACCAATTTATAGGAAAAGAGCACGGAAATGGAATCTCTTTCTGAGTACTTACTTGAATTGCTCGGACATTGAAGTGACCTAGATCAGCAAACATGGCTTCCGTTCCTGTTTCAAAAATATCACATATTTAACCAGTCAAGAAATGTTTCATCCATTTAGCATATTTTCAAGTTAAATGAAAAAGGGTAGAGCACTAAATAGACAGACCAACCTGTGATGCAAAGAATCACTCCACCAAGAGAAATCCATCCTGACTTTCCGTTTCACTGGAAGTATTTGACTATGTAATATGGATTAAAAGCACGTAACGCGCTCACCTCATGTTCGAATAGGTTATACAAACCTATACCAGTTAGGAATGCAAACCAAACAGAGATAATGAGTGCAAATGAAAATCCAACTTTATCTGTCCCAAACCGCTGGAAGAGAAAAAGGCCGATCAGAATTGCTACTGAAATTCCCACCACGGCATCTGCAAATCAATGGTACTGTATTAGACAAATATATACAGCCTATGGTAAACAAAGCATATGAATTAGGTGCAGAGAAAAATATTAAAATGGTAAAAGTATGTACCAGTACTGAGGGAGGAGATGCCACCCACTGCAGAGAGAACTGGAAAAATAACAGGAAGAAAAAAAATTTAATATGTCAAGAGAAACAACGGTTTTCATACTGAAGTGCTCCTAATTTCATTTTTATCAATTTAGTCCTACTTTTTAAATTAAACGTACCACTTAACAATCAGTTCAGGAAAGGTGATGTGGCCTTTCTTAATATGTCGTCATTTAATTTTTTTTATTTTCAATTAATAGCTTTTGCCACGATATTTATTCATTGACTAACAATTATTTAATGCCAACCCCAATCTAGATATATATTTCAATTTCTTAGTTTTAATTTATCATCAAGTTAAATAAAAGAGCTTCTGCTGTAATGGTATGATTGTTGTTTTAGGATTAAAAACTATCAAGTCGCATTCTATGTGCCGTGGCCCAGTGACCACTTGCTGTCTCAAATAATAACCTGTGATTTACACTCTCAAGTCTTGGGTTTAATACCTTCCACTAACACCTCTAATATACTAATTTCTAACCATTGTCCTTATCAAAAAAAAAAAAAAAAAACTATCAAGTCAAACATGTTGGTGTACAGCAAAACTTAAGTTTTCTTTTTTATTTAAAATAAAAAATAAAATTAATTAATAATAAGAATTCAATTTTATTGTAACTTTAGTTCAATCCGAACAATTTAGACATCTTTATAATCTCCTGAAAAGTTAGAGGGCTAAATTTCAAAAACTAAAAAAATTAGTAAGACTTAATTGCGAAAATAATATGGGTCTAATTTATGGGTTTTTTATAAACGATATAAAGCTGTAATGCTGTAATTAATTTTCTGTCAGTAAAATTAAGTAAAAGGAACTACATGCCGGTGATCTGAATAAATTTAGTTTCGATTGTGCTTTAAAAATTATAGTTTGATACTAAAAAGATTAAATTATTATTAATAAATTAATATTAAAAATAAACTTTATCAAAAATATTTTAATAATTTTAGAACACGGATTGAATCTAAAACCCCACTTATTTTTTTTAATGAAGGAAACGATGGAAACTTCTCAACTAGACAACCAAAAAACAAAAAGTTTAAACAACAGAATTGATGAATCTACCTGATATGCTTGGGGTGAGAATCCCGTCTCCGATCACCATAGAAGCCCCGAGGATGGTGACAAGGAAAAGAAAAACCTGAATAAACCTGCTGTTCTCGAGCACCTTTTTTTTATCATGGAAGCCCATTTCAACTGCCTCGGCGGTGGTTCCAATCTCTAGTTGGAGACCTCACTGTCCTCCGGTTGTTGATTCGGAACCAAGCTGATCCTCTCATACTGGCTTAGCAACGAGTACAGGGCGAACGTTCCTCCTGCAAATACATTGTTTTCCTCCATACATAAATTTCAACAAACACTTGGTCGTAATCAATTAATTCATCATCAAAAAACAATGGATTGGACGTCAAGTGACCAGTCCAATATAAATATGCTTTAGTGAAGGGTAAGAACAGGGCAAATATCAGATTTACGACCTTCGCCGTTGTCGTTGGCACACAGGACGAGAAATGTGTACTTGATGAAGGGTATAAGCACGATGGTGTAGATTACGAGGGAGAGAACCCCAAGAACGTCTTCCACATGTTTGATTCCATCAGTAAAAGTGCTAGAAAACACATAGAGGGGAGATGTTCCGATGTCTCCATACACCACTCCGATACTCTGGAATGCCAAACTCAACGTCTTACCCCAATCTACCTGCAATATTTTTCTCCAAAAAATTAATTTCAAAATTTTGACTCTGATATCAGATCGTAAGTTAATTCAAACATTTACAATAAATAACCTTCCTGACCTTTTTTAAGTATTTAAAAATTTTAAGAACAATAAAGCCTCTCTTTTGGAATGTTAGATATTCAGATATATGTAGTACCAGGCAAATCAACTTTAAAGTACTGAATTGAAAAGAGAGAAAGTTTAACAGTGCCAAGACTGTTATGTGCAAAAAAATCTCACAATCTACAACATTGAACAAAAAAGTGTTTTGCAGTGAAAACTGCAATGCAGACTCTGCAGGTATTAACGCTTGGATGATTAAATGGAGAGAGTAAATGTAAAGAGAAGACTATACATGTGAGGCGTGGTGGTTCGGAGCAGAAGAGACTCTACCGGCTTCCAGGTTGAAGGAGTCCCCACGGTGGAGATTGGTCCAGGAAAACTTTCGATCGTTCAGTTTTCTTTCAGCTCCGGCGGTTGTCGCTATTCCTGGATCACCATTGTCTGTCATTTTTTTCCCAATGGTGTGAATTTTCTTTGTGCGATGGGAGGCAACGGTGGATTTATAGAATTCAAAGGGCAAAAATCCTTCTTAAGCCCCCAAGCTTATCCTAAAATAACATTTACGTTTTTAAATTAAAAATAAAGCAGATAAACTCTTCAATTTCACTAGTGATATAAATAAATCCTTCTCATAAATGGGTCAAACTGTCTATCTCATAGTGGACTAACTCTGTTTTTTCTATGGACTTCCACTAATTCACATAAATATATATATACTGATGTGTCACTATTCTATGTATAAAGGGATCAAAGTGTGTATTGTATAAAAGTTAGAGGACTAAATCTACCTTTTATCCCAAAAAATTGCAAAAGGAGTCAGAAACCTCACATGGGTACGATGTTGAAACCAGCGTTTTCAAAATCGAATAGGATCGGTCAATTGAATTGGTTCATCCACCACTCGGTTTCTAAAACAAGCTAAGTGGATACCCAAGCTTGTTTGGACGATCGGACCATCCAGATCCGCGAAAACCGCCTAACCCGTTTCGCTCGTCAGGCTCAGTGAACTCGTTGAGCGAATTGCTCCATGTTGGATGCTACAACTTTTTTTTTTTTTTTTTCCACAGTCGGTGACACTCAAACTCAACCACTTTTTCCAATTTCCACAGCAAAAACAAAATCTTAAGACAAACAAAACCATATTCTCCACTCTCTAGCCTCCATCAGTCCATTGATTCTCCATTCTCCGGTCCAATCTCCATTCTTCAATCTCCATCACGTTTCCAATTTTCTAGCGAAGAAGAAACCACAAGACAGTAGATCAACCTCCATCACTTCTCCATTGCTTCTCCATCGCTTTTCCAAGTCGAGCAATAAATCAATGTCCAGCGGCTAGCACATCATCAAAATAGAGAACCGATGAAGAGTACATAAAGAAAAAAAAAAAAAAAAAAACTAGAACATGTACTTGAGATCGACACCTAAGCAATAGAGGCAGCCATGGGAGGGACACTGATGGAGTTTCAAAGGCGAGATTGAAGAGATAAAGAGAGAAATGAAGGTGATAAGGATTTGAGGATTTTTTTTCTTTTTTTTTGCCAGGAAATTAGGAACAAATGAATAAATGCAAGTGATTAATTCTGGCTAGGAGGTGTGAGTTACAAAAATGCCCTTATTATTGAAGATTTATGCATGGCTCCACACAAGGGATTGTCTTTTCCTTTAAAGTTGAAAAGGGTATTCAAGGAAATAGCAATTTTACTGCAATGCCCTACGTTTTTCATATATATATATATATGTACATATAAGAAATTATTGATACACCCTCTAGTTTAACACACCTAACAACACCTATCAATTTGTTATTAAAATTTACTTTTGAAAATTTTTCTGTTTTAAATCTAAATTTAAAAATATTAGTTTCTTAACAATTGAACCAATATGTGTTATTAGGTATATTCAACTGAAAGATGTATCAATCATGATCCATATATAAATATATATAAGATGCGTTAATTTTGAAATTTGTAGTTGTATGGTATTTATTTATTTAGTTTTAAATCTTATTTTTCATATATATTTAGTTTTGAGACTTATTTTTGATATTATTATTTGAATTTATATAGTTATTAAATTTAATTTAAACTAAAAATTACTATATAATGCTAGAAACTGCAAGGGAAAAAAAATGGAAAACAGTGGCCAATTCATGCCAAAAGAGTCCAAAACCCAAAATTTCAATTTTGAGGCATT